TATCCTTTGGGGACAGGTTCATGAGCAAGTTTCTGAAGTTTTCAGTCACCTCATTAAGCAACTCTGTAGCCACAATGCTGTAGATGTCTTTTCTGAACAACCTTGTATCTGGTGCTGTTCTGTTGGCAGGGACAACAGTCAACAGTAGGTAGTACCCACCATCGAGAGAGAGAGAGAGAATTAGCAAAACACTATCTAGCTAATCTACATCAATCATTAGCTTGTTAGTTAGTTACTATTTTGCTCTGTTGAAAAATGGTAGCTAACTAAATACTGAGTGCAACTTCCTCGCTTCACCGTCCTCTTCTAGAGCCAGTGTTTGGTTTGTCCCTTCTGAGCTACTGTAGAAACATGGCGGACTCCGCCATTAGAGGACTCGCTCCCTCTGTAGATATGAACGTCTCATTCTAAAGTAACAAACACACAACAAGTCTTATATTCAGGTGATTTTACACTAATAAAAACAGACATATGAATATTATATTTGGACCTTTAAATGTTGATTAAATGAATCTGAAACAACAGCAACTAAATCTGATATTTTATAGGAGGAACTTGATCCCGGTTCAAAAATATTAAGCTTATGTATGTTAAGTTTAAAATGAAATGAATGATAGTTGAGAACAGTAATCATCCTGTAACCTCATCCTGCAGTAAACTGAATGCAGCACACAAACAGGTTATTGCCTCTGTTAATACAATTTAAATCACAGCTCTCATCAGAGCCCATTAGTGGAGCCAAATCGGTCCCCTCCTACGCTCAAACTCTCCGTTTAATTCATGAACGGAGACGATACAACCAAAATCAATCCATATGGCCTCATTTGTTTTGTCGTTGACGCTATTTAACGTGTTTTATCGTAATAGGAACGACGTTTAGCTGCATCAGAGAGACTGATCTCTCCCCAGACCACAACCACTCACACCGAGCCCCGAATCCCTCCAGCTGTCAGCACTCACAACCTATTAAAGCCGGCGTTGCACCGAGGGCCAAGGGCTTTAAAGAGCAGCGTTGATTTCTGGGGAGATTAAAGTAGAGTCTGTTCCAGAGGGAAGAAGCGCACAGAGCGAGCTCAGGCCAGTAATTAGGCTGCTTTGTTCTGTGTGTTTGTTTCAATGCAAAGACAATGAGGCTCTCAGATGCCTGGTGGGGCTTTAGTGAGAGGAACAAGCAGCCAGTTAACATATGTGACAGTGGCACCGCTGGTAAAGCACTCTGCATTAAAACTGTGGTCTTATAGCTGTGAGTGTACAAGAGTTATTTAATGCAGAGGAGGAGACGGGGAGATGCGTGTGTCGATAGATAGGTAGGGGTGTGTGTGTGTGTGTGTGTGTATGTATGTATGTATGTATGTATGTATGTATGTATGTGTGTGTGTATATATATATATATATATATATATATATATATATATATATGTATGTGTTGTGTGTGTGTATATATACATATATGATAAATAAAAGTCATATTCCAGCAGCTAGAGCGTGAAAATGTCTTTTTAATGTTTAATTAAAGATATTTACACCGTAAAACAATGATCTATAAATCCAGGTGAACTCTGCTATAATACAAATAATCAAACTTACATTTACAGCAGAGTGCTGTTATTAGATTTTTCTTATTTTAATCTGAATGTTAAAAGTTATAGAACAGTAATAAAAGTAATTATCTGTGAAATAAGTATTGCTGTTTTCACTGATAAAAACTGTATTTGGACAGTTTATCAATGCTTATACACTGATAACATTTATTTGACGTTTCTGTTGTGAAAACTTACATAATTATACAAGATATTTCATGTTATTTTACATTAGACATGTAAATTTACAGGCTATTTTGTAATTTTAGTCATATTTCTATGTATTTAAAAAATACAGAACATTCTGTAAAATAAACAGGAAAAAGCTGTAAACTTAGACAGTAAACTTGTACAGTCTGAATTGGTTTCTAAGAAGTAATTTCAAACAGGGAAAGACTGGATTACAATCTGATCACAAATATAGATAGATAGATAGATAGATAGATAGATAGATAGATAGATACTGTAAACAGGTTAAATGCAGTTTCTGTAACAGTAAAACACTGTAAACTCTTATTATTCTGCATTTTAAAGGAATTTATAAGGAATAAAGTCCTTTTTATATTACACACTGTAAACTAAAAAAACTGCTTCTGTTGATGGCAAAAATGTGTATTTATACTGTAGAATATGGGATAAAGTGTCATTTTACTGTAATATCACCGTATTTATTACAGTAAACTTACAGGATTTATTTTGCTTAAAGAATCCAAATGGTGAATTTTGTTTTTGCATTTCTTACATTTTAATAATATTGATGATTTTACAGTAACGATAAAAGGTAGAAATGTAGCACGCTCAGCCTTTTATATACAATATGTCCTATTATCTAATATTTCTTCTTTTTGAATGAATGAGATCATCATCAGACTGAGAACGGATCAGTTTGTGTGTAATGAGCTCTGTTACGTTGATGACCAGCTGATGATCAGCTGTAGATACCTGAGACTGAACCAGGGGTCAGTCTGTGTTTTACATGTCAACAGACGACAATGGCTCTACATGTGACGGCTTTTGTCAACGTTGACTTTTAATATGTATGAAGTCGCTGAGAAGCTCTGTTAGCGTCACAATTAACCCTTTGCGTTCCTTTCAAACCGATCACTTGTCATTAATGATCGCTGCCTTCCTCGTTCGCTCCCTCCTGCACTGCTTCTGTTCATCAAACACTTCCTTTCACGAGTCTCATTTCCCTTTTTCTTTCCTGTAAACTGTAGAAACAATCTGGAACTTTACAGGGTTTTATCTGTATTAAATAGAGTAAGAAAATTACATTAATATCCTGTGAATTTACATGTCAAATGTGAAATAACTGATTATTTTTTCACATAAAAAGAAAGATTTAGTGTTTAATTGTGCATTTAATACTGTTTATACATTTCTAAAAGTATTTGTTTTGTACTTTTACATGGATTTGTTGGTTAATTGAAAGGTATCTTGTACAATTCTGGAAGTTTTCACAACACAAATGTTGAATAAATGTTGTTTATCAGTGTATAAGCATTGGTAAACTGTCCAAATACAGTTTTTATCAGTGAAAACAGCAATAATTACTGTAATCTCACAGACTTTTTTTACAATTTAAAATTCAGATTGAAATAATAACAATCCAATAATAACAGCACTCTGCTGTAAATGTAAGCCTGATTATTTGTATTATAGCAGATTTCACCTGGATTTATAGATCATTGTTTTAACAGTGTTAATATCTTTAATTAAACATTAAAAAACAATTACACAAGATTTTATGTACATTTAAAGCTAAGTATTTTGTTATTTTACTGTATGTTTTAGCTCCAGCTGCTGGAATATGTTTATTTTCTATCTGTTTTTAAAGTGTGCACACTGAAGAGCTGACACACTGTTTCTGAGGCCTCCGAGGAGTCTATAAGGAGATGAGGGGAGAGGAAAATAAAGAAGTGAGGAGAGAGTGTAGGGAGAGAAAGGATGGAAGGAGAGTGAGAGAGAGAGAGAGAAAGGGGGGAGGAACATAAATAACTGCAGGGAATAGACGAGTGAGGCAGGAGAACAAAAGAGTGAAAGGAGGGATGGAGGCTCAGAGATTAGCAGCGCTCATTAACGTCCAGAGACTCAGTGAGTGTCCACGTATGTATGAGTGTTTATGGGGGGGGGTTGTCATCCAGAGTGCTGTGGTTGCAGGATTACTGGAGGCGGAGGAAGGTGGGGTGTGTGTGTGTGTGTGTGTGTGTGGGGGGGGGGTTCATGGTAGATATAGTGTGAAATATGTGCGCAGACGTGGTGAGGAAGGTGACACCAGGAGCCAGAAGGACTGGGTGGTCCAGGGTCTGTGTGACGCCACAGAGTCCAGCTCAGAGTCCAGCTCTCTTCAGGTCCACACAGCAGACCCAGTGTGAGCACACAGGATGCGTTCAGGGACAGCAGTGAGTGTGGGTCACCACTGTACTGGCAGCACACTAACCTCCTGTGACCCCCCCCTCCCCACTCAGTGCCACCGGACCTTGGGCCATAAACTGAATACTGCTGGATTTACATACTCCAGAAATTATAACAGACATTTATAAACAACATAATGAAGCAACAATAAAGTATTACTAGTTGTTATTATTATTATTATTGTGCTGCCTGTCTTGGCCAGTACTCTCTTGTAAAAGAGATTTTTAATCTCAATGAGACTTCTCCTGGTTAAATAAAGGTTAAAAAAAATATATATATATATATATATATTGTTATTGTTGTTGTTGTTGCTATTATTTTTATTATTATTATTATTATTATTATTATTATTATTCTGTCTGACTTTAAGGTTAAGAGATTAAAAAGCTTCCGAGTGGCGGAGCTGCAGGAATATTCTCATGTTTATAACAGTCAGTTGAGGATTGAACCACAAACTGGAACCAACAACAACAACAACAATAACAACAATAATAATAATAAATAAACCAACAATAATAGAATAATATACAGCTTCACCTGTCTCACACACCTGCTAATAAAGTGCACACACACAAATATATGTAGCAAAATGCTAACTAACTAGCTTCAGCCACCTACGTAGTGTTTAGCTAACATTAACTTAAAGGTCCAGTGTCTAGCAGTGTAATTGCAGATCCTCGCTTCACCCTCCTAAAGTGTAAACTACAGTGGCTGTGAAGGGCCCAACCAGTGTGTATAAAGCTGCAGTGTGTTTGTGTTGTCCACTATATCCTACCGTATATATTCTGCTGTTACTGCTGCTAATAATACCGTCCTTCCTGCTTCCAGGAGACATATTAGGGCTGCAGATAGACAGCTGCAGATAGACAGCTGCAGAGGTCGGGTTACGGATGAGCAGGACGACAGAAGAGATGTAAAAATAAACAGGGAGGGAGCGCAGAGTGGGAGTAACAAAGGGAGGGAGAGCGGGTGAGGCTGGTGCGGAGCTGATAACGGGGAGGGAGAGCAGGGAGATAGAGGGGAGACGTCTAAAGGAGCGAGCTCCAAGAAACAAAAGGGCCGCCGCGACTCAGAGCGGCAGACGGAGGAAATAAGTTCTGTCCACAGAGTCTTATCAGCAGAGAGAGTGAGGAAGTTATTTTAACCAGCGCTTTGTTTCACATTCAGATTCCTCTTGTTGGGTTTAATAAGCTTTACCTTCTCCAGCAGGTTTCACAGCGCGTACCGTCAGAGAGATACACCTGCTCTTAACAACACCTGCGCCGTGAAACAGGAAGCTCCTTATAGTGTCCAGTGCTACCTCAGAGCGCTGGCTGCACAGCTGCACGGGGCCAGTCTGACAGGGAATCCGGTACGGAGCTGGTTTTCTTGCCGGGTTTGGCTCCTGGCGTCCCGGGGCTGAGTCAGTTGGGTTAGCTCTGCGTCTGACTGAGCTAACAGCAGTTAGCGGTTGGCTACGGATCAATCTGTCCATCAGGAAACTGTAAATGACCTCGGTACTGTAACGGTATTCCCTGTCGGTACTGTAACGGTATTCCCTGTCGGTCTCTGAGGCCTCGGTACTGTAACGGTATTCCCTGTCGGTACTGTAACGGTATTCCCTGTCGGTACTGTAACGGTATTCCCTGTCTGTACTGTAACGGTATTCCCTGTTGGTACTGTAACTGTATTCCCTGTCGGTACTGTAACTGTATTCCCTGTCTGTACTGTAACGGTATTCTCTGTTGGTACTGTAACGGTGTTCCCTGTCGGTACTGTAACGGTATTCTCTGTCGGTCCACAGAAATGAACATATCTCTCCAGCCTGAGACACAAATAATAAATAACACGTATAAAACCATAAACAACCTGTTGAACTGCCTCTCCGGACGCTCCGGACGCTCCTGGCCTGCTGAAGGCTGTCGGTGCTGATTACTGTTGGTCAGTCGGGTTGTGGCGGTACCGACGTCTCCAACCCGGCACACTGCGCTCAGACACTAAACAGCCTCGTCTCTTTCAGATAGGTTTACATTTTAAAAAGAAACCAGGAGGAAGAAGGAGGCTATGACTATGACTCAATACAACAAATTTATGAGAATAGAGCTCTCCATTTATTTTTTTTTTTTTTTCTGAGAAAACCTCTGTTACATATCTGTTAAACAGACTATAACATTATATATAGATATATATATATATATATACTATATGATCTTTTTTTTTCCCTTTTTTTCTATAAAAAAAAACTTGCTATTTTAGGATATAGCTATCTAACTAATACCAACAAAAAAAATATCTTTTTCTTCTCTCTAACAGGCTGAATGTTTCTACATTTTGCAGAATCAGAGTGAATTTCTGCAGAAAACATTTGAAGGCCGATACACATCATTTAGAAAATTGTTGACAATTGTTAGTCAGACTTCTAAATCTACTACATCTCAATCAGATGTTAACATTTAAGCTCTAAACTGTTCTCAGACCTGCATTCACTCATTAGCAGCAGCTTTTAAATCACCTTATTGAAATATGTATTTTACACAGTTTCTGGATCAGTGAGTTCTCAGTAAAGTCTCTCTTTACTTTATTTACCCAACGTGGAGCGATCACCTGGTACAGCCACAGATAGAGTGTGTGTGTGTGTGTGTGTGTGTGTGTGTGTGTGTGTGTGGGTGGGTGGCGTCGACGCTGAACGGCATGCTGGGAATGTTTACATAGACATACCACAGCTCATGTGGTAGTTTACAGGAGAAAGCACACATTTATAAACCTGCTGAACCTTCGCCACTGTTTCACATACAAACACTCTGACCTGTAGCGTTGCAGCGAGAGCGGCTATCGATGAGCCGTCTGCGGCGCTCGGTGGGATCATCCACCAGCCTGCCAGCGGGATACACACTACACTTTACATCCCACCTGTCAGAAAGCATTTACAAACAAACTCTGTATTGACTCTTAGACCCTTTGTCTCCTTCAGGCGGAGCCAGCGGAGGAAGGTTTGCCGATATTCAGTGAGCTCTTTAAATGGCTGCACTGTACTCTCTCTGCCTTTATTCAATCCAACCCTTTTACCTCCGTTTTACTGTATTTCAGGGTTTTAAACAGCAGTGAACCTGCTGAAAGCAGGACATTGACTTTCTGATAACAGTAGAAAAAAGCATTTGTTATTTACTTTGGGTAAACAGTAAAGCTGCAGTTCCTCTAACGGCCACTAGAGGCTCCAGCAGTGAGTCAGACTCCATATTAAAACATGTTTACAGCTAATTTTAATCTCTACAGCTAATTTACCCGTTCATAAAAACTGTACAACTCACCTGTTTTAATTATATTCAAACTAAATTTCTTTGTGTTTTTATATTAAAACCCAATCACTGTCTTCCTGTGAAACTAAATGTGACGCGTGTTTACGTCAGCATGAACTGATTTCAACCAATAACATCCTGACATTCACCCGTCAATCAATCTTCAACTGTTAGTGACACAGAGCGAAGATTCATCAGATTACCATACAAACACACAGCTGTATCAGTGATTTGGGTGAAACTGGATCATATTTTATATATATATTTTATAACTGCTAATGTAGCAGTCATTGGCGAGCAACTGAACGGGGCTCAGCAGCCTCCCAGTGATTCATGGAGTTTCCAGACTAAAAGAAGCTAACCTTTATGCAACAGTAATGTTCGGCGCTGTTAGCTCGTGCAGCTAATGTGAGCCTTCACCCAGACTTTAAACATTTCCAGACCAACAGAGATTATTTTCAGGATATTTGGTCATTTTAATCAACTTCCAGGCGTTTCCATGACTGGGAAACTACTTTTTCATTAATGTCCAGGTTTTCCCGGATGGGAACGCTGCTGCAGTTCCTGTTTACTCTGACTATGTTGGTTCTTTGTATGTGTCAATAAACCGATCTCTGATTGATCCTTCTGGTTTACGAACTGATAAAAGCTTCCTGGTGATGAAACCGAACCCACGACCTTGAAACAGGAAGCGACTTCCAGAACAGGAACCATGATAATTTTCTGCCTCATTCCGTTTGAGCAGCGCCACAGAAGGAGCGGCGGGCGACGGGTCGGACCCGATGGCGCTCGGCATCAATCTGAATCAAAGGAGGAGAAGTTGTGGGCTGTTTGCTGCTCCGCGCTGCCAGATTGAACGAGGGGGGAAAAGATGGTCGAAAACAGAAGATAATTGGAGAACGGATGAAAGGGGAGAGAGGGGAGAGAGGGAAGAGCGGGGGAGAGACACAGATAAAGGGAGACAGAGCGGCCGAGAGGTTGAGATGAAGTGAGGAGGAGGGAGGTTGGCGGGAGAGGAAGAGGAGTGAGGAGAGGGGGAATTGAAAGGGAGTGAAGGAGAGGGAGGAGAGACGCTTTCTGGGGATGAATGTGTGAAGCACTCGAATACAACTGGCTTTTATTCTGAAACCCTCCTTCACCCTCGTTCCCACGTCCCTCATCAGCTACTGAACTAACATCGTCCTCTTTAAACGAGAGAACCGGGAGGAGGAACGTCTGCTAGCTTCCACTGCTACCGCTAATCACCAACACTGCTAGCGTTAGCATGTAGCATAGGTGTGGAGCTGGTGGTAGACGGGCAGGGATCACAATCATCATGTTCACCTTCGTGTAATCAGCCTTTCCCTTACTGTAAAGGTTATATATACGCAGAGTCACATGGTGTCTCTCTCCCTCTGCCTGTGTTGTATCGCAGCCTCTCTGTGGTTTGTTTCCATAGCCGGTCTGCTCCGACTGAAACTGCTGTTTTTATCATCTACGTCGGTGAATTAAGGATTTATTTCCACCAAACCAGAGTTGGTGATTGTTGGAAACACTAACAGAGACGCTTTTAATGAGTTTTATTCAGTTTCTGTTCACTTTGAATGAAGTTACGATGATCTGAAGGTTAAATGAGTGTTTGTGTCTCTGGAGTCTGGTGGAGAGTGATAGTGATATTACGGTCTATCTCTGTAGGGATACAGTTGGAGTTGAACTGACTCATTGAACATTGGGGGTTTGCAGTGTCCATTATACTACCTGACAGTCTGAAGGTCTTTCATTACACAACAGTGACCCTGAGACCTTTGCAGGGACACTTCAGTGAAACCCGTCGGACATTTGCGTCATCAGGTGAGAAGAATGTATTGACAGACGCCATCTCTCTAATGTAGTTTACTCACTGTGTGATTTATTAGGTTGTATTTGTGTCTTTAAAGAGCGCTCAGCTCATTTAAATCACTGCAGCAGAACCAAAGACATTAAATCTTTTCTTGTGTTAGATTTAATTCCACTGTATCTCACATTATAAATGGCGTTTGCACCGTTGTGTATTTTAAGAATGAGAAATTAAATTAAAACAATAAGTCAGAAAGGAGGATTGATGAGTTTAATCACATTAAATGCTCATTTCTGATGTGGACTTTAAACACGTCTGCTAGCGGGAGAGAGATTAATTAAAACAGTTTGGAGCATTATTCTGTCATTGTTGTGCGTTTGCTTCGAGTGTTTAATTTGCTCTTGTTGATAAAATCAGCAGACGGCAGCAGATTTCTGTTTAATATCCACTAAAATACCAACAACTGAGTTTGTGCTCCCTGAATAAACCTTCCACCTGTGCACCAAAGTACGGAGGTCAGGAAGCTAATCAATCTTTATTTTCATACGGTCAGTGTTTCACAGACCAGCTGATAATAATACGCTGAAATAAAAACAAATGAAAATGACAGTAAAATAGATTTAATATTTATAATAATACGACAGTGTTAATAAAAGCTGTACTAGAGACTATATGTAATAGATTAAGAGGACAAGAAATAATAGAAAATAATAAATAAAACAGTTTCTCTCAGACTCACACATTCAGTTACAGGAGGAACAAACAATGAAAAACTAACAGGTACATTTAAAACCTGTTAGAAAGTGAAAAAACTTAACGAAGCTTAGCTAGCGTTTTGCTAACACTGGCTATCAGATGTGACTGGCTAGCTAACAGTTGATGTAGATTAGCGAGCTAGTTAGCAAAAAAAGGCCGGTATGTTCGATTTAGTTACACATCACAACTCCGTCGCTTCTCAGCAAGAAGAAGAAACACGACTTTTTCTAAAATAAAAAACAAACTAATAACTAGCAATTAACTAACCTAACAATTAATGTAGACTCACTAGCTAGTTAGCTAGCGGTTTACTAAAATTAGCTAACTTAAAGGACCAGTGTGTGCTATGGTGACCTATAGCGATGTAGATGCAGGCCTCTGTATCGTAGCTCTACCCTCTGTATCGTAGCGCTACCCTCTGTATCGTAACGTTACCCTCTGTATCGTAGCTCTACCCTCTGTATCGTAGCTCTACCCTCTGTATCGTAGCGTTACCCTCTGTATCGTAACGTTACCCTCTGTATCGTAGCTGTACGTAGCGTTACCCTCTGTATCGTAACGTTACCCTCTGTATCGTAGCGTTACCCTCTGTATCGTAACGTTACCCTCTGTATCGTAGCGTTACCCTCTGTATCGTAGCTCTACCCTCTGTATCGTAGCGTTACCCTCTGTATCGTAGCTCTACCCTCTGTATCGTAGCTCTACCCTCTGTATCGTAGCGTTACCCTCTGTATCGTAGCTCTACCCTCTGTATCGTAGCTCTACCCTCTGTATCGTAGTCCTACCCTCTGTATCGTAGCGTTACCCTCTGTATCGTAGCTCTACCCTCTGTATCGTAGCTCTACCCTCTGTATCGTAGCGTTACCCTCTGTATCGTAGCGTTACCCTCTGTCCTACTCGTAACGTTTACCCTCTGTATCGTAGCGCTACCCTCTGTATCGTAGCGCTACCCTCTGTATCGTAGCGCTACCCTCTGTATCGTAGCTCTACCCTCTGTATC